ACACACACACACACACACACACGTACACACACACAGGCCACTCCTTTCGCTTATTATCAACAAATCTCGAGAACGGAAACCGTTCGGAGAAATACAGTTTAAGTTTATTTTCCCGAACATTCAGAGAAATAGAGCCGGCCTTTTTAAAAACCTTATCAGCTCAATTTTCTCATGACTACCTCTAAGTCTTGTGTTCGAGCCTCGGTTCGAACTCGAATTTTTTCCACCCCCTCCTGCCCACCCAGCAGTAATGATGGGTAGCCTACGGGTACACCTGACTTCGAGTTGTGGAAGTAAAGGCGGTGTGGAAAGGAACTAGCCACCCTACCACAATATAATGCCGAAGGCTCAGTAAGTTGTCTCATTAACAAGGCAATCCCCAATATCTGGATCGGATGCCGGAACAACTTTACTTTACTAAGTCTTAGCGGGTTACCGTGCAGTTGAACCAGTCCAAAATGACTCACTCTTTGTCAAGTAGAAAAGTGATAATCTTAGATTATAGGGTCTCCTGGACAGTTTCATTAGAAACATAATAATAAAAACACAAGGGGGAGTAGGAAGTGGTCGTTACAGGTGATTGTCTTCGGTAGGCGGTCATTTGAGCAGGTTTTACAAGGTATTGATTCTTAATTGAATCGTTGGGGCTCAACTGAGCGTGCTATGACTGCTTTCATGTTGATCAAATCTCCCTAAAATTGTTTGCGTTCTCAGTATCTTCCCTTTCTGTTCTATAGGTCTTGAGTAGATCATCATGGCTTCTGTAATTTTGTGTGCAGACTTTGGAAAAGTACAAATCAATTTACCATCTTGGAATGGCTTGTAATGATCTATAATAGACTGAAGTGTAAGGTAATGAGTTGATTTCAATTTCAGTGATAGTTTGAATAGATCTAGATTCTAGTGTGTAGTTTCCATTTGTTGAACGTACAATGGATTTGACAGTAAAATCTTTTTAAAAGTGTGAAAAAAATTTTTGACTAGCAGACATGATGCTTAGAGTTCTTGTACTCTAACTTTCAGAATGGACTTAAACTCTCTTGCATTGATTTGACCAAAATTTTTTATAAATGTCTTATACTTTAAGTGTTCATATCAAGTGTCTCTGAAAATAAGAGACTTGTTTCATAATAATATGAGCTTTTGAATTGAATTCAAAGAGATGATTTTCTACTGATCCCTGTAGCTGAGGTGTTAAAACAAAATTAGGAAAAATTTATAATATGATATATATATATAACATTTTGCATTCATTTGAACTTTATACAGTCATCTTTCGGTACTGTGATGGGGTCTCTCATTAGTCTCATGATGGCCCTGTCTAAATGTTAAATAAGCAATAAACTAAAAATGGCATTGCCACAAATATGTAAGTAGTATTTCTTTATATTTAGGCACTGGAACAAGACTCTATGGGGAAAGGCAAATATATTTGAAATTTATATTTATAAGTATAATATGCTTGGAGCTATACATTTAAAGTCAGGAGTTTATTTTATCGAGAAAGTAATTCACTTTATGTACACGGTTGTACTGTGTTGAAAAAAAGATTTAGGTATCTATGGCTGATATAATATATATATATATATATATTCAGTTGAGATTACACAACGGTTGCAGAGTTGAACAGTGGCTTTGGATCCTAAATGTAAATTTGTCTTTCATGTTATGTTTGCAAGAGTAAAAAAAGTTTAACCACACTTGCGATTGAATTGCGTGAATTTTAGTGTTATTGGCAACATTATTTTTTATACATTCATTGATCATCAGGGCACTCTTTTAAAGCTCAGCTGGTATCATGCTGGACTATGGAGCGGATGGTTCTGTTTTGACTCCTTGAACTGGGTTGTTTTGTGAAGTTTTTCAAGGCTCTCAAACTGTTTGGATCAGTCCTATCGGAGATAGAAGTTAAAAATTTGAAGGTCCCATCTCTTATATAACCTAATATAGTAGTATTGATAGTGGTGATAATCCCTCACATTTTATAAATTTGTCGTCACCATTTTTTAATTTTGCATTTAGTTGTTCTGATCCATCTTCATAGACTTAATTGCACTATATGGTAGATAATGGGTTCCTTGTCTCAAATGAAATGTGGTTCACAGAGATTAATTGATGATTTCAATGTGAATGATGAATAACTCCAAATACTCAGTCTTTTAGCTTGGATTTATTTGCTCTTTTTTCTTAATATTGTTATTGTGTTTTAAATCTTCTTCAAAGTCTGATGTTTTCCTATTTCGTGTCTCCAAAGCATACACACCCTTATTTTCATTTGAATGTAACACTGATTTTCCCTAGTCATTTAAAACATTTTGGTTGAGGCGACTGTTTGACTGATGTAGACCAGTCTGAGTATGTAATTGATCGTATCTCCACCACCACTCTTGGTGATTTCTTGATTTAAAATTTTTAAAATTTTATTTTGGGGGGTGGTTATCTTGATTTATTTTCTTAATTTTAGTCTGCCTAGATGATGCGGCTGTTTAATTGAGACATGTCTTACTTTTCAATATCGGTTATAATATTTTGACTTTCTTCTGCAAGTGCAGTTTGTGAAACAGTAGAAGGCCTAGTTAGTGAGTGGTTGGCGGATGCTGTGGTGTGGTTTGCTCCGTCTTTCCGATCAAACATCTTATCATTCTTATAAATCTCTTCTTCATTGTTACCCTCTTGTAACAGCTCTAATCTTCGGCACTTACGTTAAATGTTGCAAGTGTCCTAAAATTCTTACTACTATACTACTGAAACAAAACTGTCTGTCATACTTCTCCGTAACATTGTATGTTCATATCGTCCTTCTTTTTTTTGTGGTCAAAATTCAAACTTATGCTATCATCAGAATGGTGAAAAATTCCACCCCTGAACTGACCCAATGGCTTCAAGATAAAGGGATTATTATGTTGACCTTCGGGCTCAACTGGTCAGATGTTCCAGATGTTCCTCTTCTCGTTCATGTACTGCGCTGTACATAGGCAAAAGGCTTTGGGGTTGTTGGTTGAG